AAATTTTCCATAAAAATTAGACCAGAACTGAAAATTGCGAATTTTCTAATTACAATTTTGCAAATTTTAGATTTCGATAGAAATAATTTAAATACACATTTTTGCTTTTCTGAACTTTTGATTTTGAGAGAAAAAAGATTCGCGGATTCTTTTCGGGCCATTGAAGTACAAAAAAAATTACAAATTTTCAAAAAAAATTAAAAAACACCATACAGGAGAGTTGCACCAGGCGCCGCAAATCACACTTTTTTTGACACACCCTGTATGTGCCTAAAAATGTTTAGGGCACATTTAAAGAAATAAATGAATCCGTTCCAAATTACGCAATCCCATAAAAGTAACTTTTAAAAAACTACTCTTTCTGAATTTAACCGCAATAAAAAGGATTGTCGATTCTCCAAAGTATAGATAAATATTTTTTTTTAATTATTAATTTTACTTTCTAATAAAGAGACTCTTTCTGATATTTCTAATGAAAATGAATTTTCTGAAAGTATTATGAGCGAATGCACGATACGATGCATGATGCATTCATTGGCGGATTTGCACCCCGCCCAGGAAATTTCAAATATATATTATAGATAGGATATGGATGGTAAAATAAACTTGAAACTTCCAGGAAATATAGAATAGAACTGTAGTAAATGCCCTACTGCATAGCAGTTTCTCGAACCGTATCTATCCAGGTACAATTCAGATTCTCTTGACTATCAATGTCAACACACGGCTGCAATTCCGTTACCTATAAACGCTAGTACTACTGGGAGCGATCTTGTTAGCTATTGGTGTGTCAATACAGAGTACAGACACTAGCAAGTTATTGATCAGTATCTCAAACAGGACACGATCCACACAATTGCAAACCTGTAAACTATCAACGCCAGTACTACTGGGCGAGATCTCGATAGCTATTGGAGTCTATATCAACTAAGGTATATTTCTTCAGGTTATATATGAATTCGGTCTTTAACAGCGTAATTACAAGTTATGCGATGTTATATATATATAAGGTAGTTAAGCAATCACAATATGGGTATGACCCAGTTATATATATATGTACATTGAATGGGTTAATCGCAATACATGATTTACATATTTACAATGGGAACATTTTGCTATATAAAACGTAATTTACTATGGGCCTCTATATTTGCTACAGAACATTTTATTTTTTATTTTTTAATCCTTCTCAGCAGTCAGCTTACAATTTCTATAGTCTATATAATACTACCTTTATTTCCTCTTTCTTTGTTTCTTAGTTCTCTTTTTCCTTTTTTCTTTCATTGTTTTCCTTGTCCCTTTAGGAATTATTTTTCTTCTCACCTTATTTCCTACATTAAATGTTTCCAGTACTGTTGAAAGGAAGGATTAAAAACATTCGAGATTAAGCCTTGTAAAACGAGTGTTAAGGTAATCACAAGTGTCCTCTGAGTACAGTTGTTTAAAGGAACTGAGTCCTTGCCCCTAATTCTGATGATCAAATCCCTCTGTTCAACCTATTGTTGTAGATAACCCTATA